GAGCCCGATGCGGGACTCGATCCCGGGACTCCAGGATCATGACCTGAGCCGAAGGCAGTCGCTTAACCAACTGAGCCACCCAGGCGCCCTCTGTGTATTTTTTATATTCCCAAAATTCTGTCTAATGAACACTCTGGCAACATTTTTGTTTTAGCTGTTAGGATGAAAAGACAACAATAAGATTGGCATGCTGTGGATTCTTACCTGTATCCTCTTTGTGGAAGACATTCTAAAATGTCATAGCAAAGAGACAGCTGGTCATTTCGTTCACAGTTGTAGATGCACCCCAGAGCTACTGCCATCAGGTGGTCCTGATCAGGAATAATTTTTTGCTGCAGCTAGAGAAAATAAAGCATGCTGTACTAAACGTCAGTAGATTTACATTCACTTTTTCCATAGCCCAGTGCAACTGTCAACAGAATATTAAATAGTGCAATTAATCAGCCTCAAAAACAAATCTTGATTTTTCTTTAGCTTACAGACTTTTGGGGTCTTTAATAATTCTAAGTGAAATCACATTTTAATTACAGAATCAGCTAGAAAAGATAATTTGTACCCATAAGCTTTGCATCTGCTAAAAACAGATTCTTCAATTTATGACCCATTCAGGATAAAGTAGATAGAAGAAACACAGTGAATTAAAAAGGCAATTCATTAAAAGCATTTCTAACCCAAAAGCCAAATTTTATGTGTTTCAATTACAAAAATATATAAAATTCCTTAACTAATATTCAGAGATGTTTGAACCTACTATTTTTCAGTATGCATTATATATTAGTCATGTAACTAAACAGTACTGACATTCTATTCAAAAGAAATCACATGGCTATGCAGTAATATTCAAATCACGGAACACACGCCAATGCAGAAAGCCGACTACTATGGGTCACTGTCTCTACAGGATACACACTTCCCATCACAAACCAGACTCTCTTTCTTATTTTCTGGGATATAAAAATACTGTATTTGTGCCTTGTTTTTCTCATCTCAACTTCTCATCTTACTGGATATTAACATCTTCCTAATATCACTGTTATGAAGATTAAATTAATACATGAAGAATGCTTCCATTATTGCCAAAGACACCAAAATGGAAAGTTGATACGATATTCTTAGAGCCCTATTCAATGACAAAATAAGTTTAAAGTAATTTCCATAATAAAGATCTAGTGGTTTTCAACATTTTAGTAGAAACTCACAAAACAGATAAGAAGCTTCTCTGTAAAAAAACCACATCAATGGATGGGAAGAAGAAACATTCAAGTTACAGGGAAGTGAAGTCTCCTGAAGCACTAGGGTTAAAGGAGTTATATACCTTTCTTCAAGGTGTTAAGAAAAGAATATATTGTTAATTTGACATCGACATCTGACAGAGTTATCCAAGGTTGCAAAGTGACAGACTGGTGAAACAGAGAGCACAGTAAAAGTAATTATTATTAAAAATTAATTAAAATCACTAACTCTTCCTGATTTCTTATTGTGTGCCAGGTACTATTTCTATGTGCTTCACATGCATTCATTCTTAATTCCTCAAACCATCCGGTAAGGTTAATACTAGCTCCATCTCAGTTTTCCGTAAGGGGGCGCTGGGGCACCGACAGAACACATCACTTGCTCTGTGGAGGCTAATGCAGGCAGCCGGCTCCAGAGCCCACACTAAGGCTCTCTCGGTCCTGCAGGAAAACTTCACATACAGGAAGAATGGGAGAGATGGAGGAAAACTATAGTCATCAACAGCTCATATAGGAAAAGGAAAAAAACTGAAACCAGTTTCAGTGAAAAGGAATAAATTGGAAAACCAAATGAAACAGAAGCCAAATTCCGTGACGGTTTCCTTGATTTTCCTGCTTCCTGTCTTTCGCTCCCACCAACATTCAAGTATCACCTGGAAGTTAAATGTACTAGAATCCACAACTGATCACGTATGCTCAAAATCTTCTACAATGTGAAAGGTAGAGAATAAGTTTTTTGCCTTCCACTCAAGTTCCTTCATGGCCTGGTGCCAACTCACCCTTCCTGTCCTCTGAACCACTATGCAAATTTTAGTTCACACAAATTAAGTCACTTGCCTTTATGTAAACATGTTACTGCTCTTTTGTCTCCCCATCTTATTCTACTCCTACATGGACCTTCTTCTCAAAAACTTAGCCTTGCCGCATCTAAACCCTCCCTGATAATCCTGCTTTATCTCTACTTGACTCTGACTTCAGTTGGGCTTTCCCAGATTTCTAGTCTCTTCCAAAAGCTCCATAAATGCTGGTCCAATGAACACATTCTCATACAACTCTCAAACATAAATCCTTTTTCCTCTCTGTATTCCTATGGCTTCTTTTTGTTCTCTTCCTGTGCCATTTAGCATACCTTTCTTAATACAATCTATTATGCACGTGAATCGTAACGCTTAAATTTTTAAGACACATTCTATTCTTGTTCTGTTCAACTCCCTACAAGATGCCTAACTTCATAAAGTGTTAAGACACACGTCCTCTCTTATTTCTATCATTCCTGTCCTAATACCTCAGTGGTAACTATTAAACCATCATTTGCCCCACCTCAAGCTGATAGAAGAGAGCCCCTCTAAAACTTTCTAGGAAGTCAGTAAGTCTTCCCCACCATGGGCAACTGATTATTTTCCATACTGCATCGCAAGGTGAAATATAAGAAAGTTATAATTTGGTTCTTAAAAATGGTCTTAAAATTATGCACTACAGATAAGTAGCTAAAGAACAGATGATAAGATATGATACCTGGAAAACCCCGGAGAATGAAGCAATACAAAAAATTAGTGAAGTGGCAGAATGCAAAAATAACATACAAAATGAACAGCTTTCATATACAGAAACAACAAACAGAGGGGTGAAAGTAGGGAAAACTCGATTTAAAATAGAAACAGAAAATTAAATGCTTAGGAATAAATTTAACAAGAAATGTGCATGACCTACATGAGGAACACTTTCAAACACTCCTGAAAGACAGTAAAAAAAGACATGAACAAACACAATGATACACCCTCTTCTTGAATAGGATAACTGAACATTATAAAGATACTGGTCTCACCAATTTATAAATTTAATATAATAACAGTAAATATACCAACAAGTTATTTTATGGAATTAGCCAAGTTGTTATGAAAGTTCAGATGGAGAAAGAAACATGTATCTTTTAAAAAACAAAAACAAAAAAACCTAGGGAAAAAAACTACAGAGGAATACTACCCTTACCAGACTTTAAAAACCCGTTATAAAATCTCTATAATTAAAACAGTGTGCTCCTAGGGGCACCTGGGTGGCTCAGTCGGTTAAGCATCCAACTCTTGATTTCAGCTCAGGTCATGATTTCAGGGTCCTGAGATCAAGCCCCACATGGGGCTCTGCACTCAGCACAGAGTCTGCTTGTCCCTCTCCCTCCCCCTCCAATTCTCCCCCTGCTTGCTTGCTTTCTCTCTCTAATAAATAAATAAATAAAATAAAATAAAATAGTGTGCTCCTAGTGTATGAACAAACCAGTAACAATATAAAAACTCTAGAATTAGACTAACCAACAAATGGAAATTTGGTAGATGACAAAGGTGGCATCTCAAATCACTCAAGAAAAGACAAAATTTTTAATATATGGTGCTGGGACAACTAAGTAGCCATCTGGCATCTCACCATACAAAAGAATGAGCTCCAAGTAGATTACTGATCTAAACATAAAAATAAAAGCATACAAGTTCTGAAAGAAAATGAGTGAATTCTTCTTTAACCTTGGAGTAGGAAAAGGCTTTCTCACCATGACTCTAGATACAGAGGCAATAAAAGATTGCTCAATTTGACTACATATAAAAAGATAAAAATTCTGCCTGACACAAATCACCATAAACAAAGTCAAAAGACAGCCTACCAACTGGGAGAAATATACACAATACATACCACAAAAAAAAAGGACTAATTACACCAATATATCTGAATTTCTACAAAAGTAAATCACAAAGGAACAAAAGTCCAAGTGAAATGGAGGCTATCATACTAAACAGCACGGTTCTAGAGGCACCTTTCAATTCCCTAAGGAGTGTGGGCCCGAAGTAGACAAGCAGGAAATTGCAGGCAAGAGCTTAAACTGTTTAGTAGACTTTCCCATCCATGCCATTGCCGGCATATGGACCTAGGTCAGCACCCAAAGCTTCCAAACTCAGAGCCCTGGAGTACTGCACTAAAGGAACATGGGAGAACTGGGAGCAGGAGAGTCCTTTTGAAACTTGACAGGGTTCCATTCCTGATCAGATGAAAGTGACCTTCACCACTACGAGAACTGGAGAAACAGCAAACCAACAGTGGGAATTGTTTATAACACAGATCGAAAGGCTTTCTATCAGAATCACTGGATAAATTGTCAAATGCATATTCCAGGTCCATATCCCCCAAATTCTAATCCATTATATCTGGGGTGGGCCTAGAAAACTGTACTTTTTTTTTTTTTTTAAGTCCATAGTTCCCATACACGATGCATCCAAAAAAAAAAAAAAATGCTAGTATGGAAGACCGAGAACAATATGAGAAGGCAGAATATTTTATTCCCAAATCACCTCCATCCAGACTTGCCCAAGTTCCTTCGTAAGTTCCACTTTCCAAAGGACCATGCAAATAAAGAGCAACAGCTTAAAATCACAGATGAGTGCTTAAAATCAGGATGTCGTAAAGGAGAGGAAGAGTTTGAAGCATATGCTACCGTTAAAAAGGACAAATATGTGTTTGTATTATTGTTTCCAAGTATTCACTCCCTTCTTCCCAAGACAGGATTATGCTTCCTTGCCTCGTTAACAACAGGCGGGGCTAGACTTCCTCTGGCCTGTGAAATGTGAGAGGATGTAACTTGAGGCATTTTGAGGTAAGCTTGAAGAGCCATTGTGTGGTTCTACTTTACCCTTTCTCCTGTGCCACAGCTTTAAAAAGGGGCCTGCTCCTTTAGCCAAGTCCTGGAATGAACAAGACATAGAACACAGCAGAAGCCTGACTATAGCCTATATGATGCTTGTGGGAAATGAATGTATGCTGTTCTAAACTACTGAGATTTAGTGATCACTTGTTAATGCGGCATAATTTAGCCTAAGCTGTCTGACATGGAAATCATTGCTCCTGTTATATTACTATAAACACTCTGTGCTTGACTCATGGCAGATCTCAAGGTACATTCTTTTTGTAAAGAGTAAAAAGTAAAATAAAATAAAAACAGTGCTCCAAGCACAATCCTCATAAAGCAAACAAATGTAATCAAGTGGTCTACAGCATCATAATGAAACCCAGTTTCAATCATTCACCCATCATTTGCCCTGACTAAATTTACTGAGCACTTGCTCTCTGCAAGGCACTGACTCCCAGGTAATACACAGATGCATGAGACATAGAGAACATACATAGGAAACAAAGGGAGGGAAAGAAAAACACATGAACATTAATTATGACACAGTGTGATATGGGTTATTACAAAGGCAAGGACAAGACCTATCATAGCACAGATAGGTCACAGGTCTCCTAGCAGAGGGAATCTAACACAGCAGGATCTTGAAGGACAGGCAGGTGTCTGTAAAGGGAAGGAAAGGGAAGCTGACCATCCCAAACAAAGGAAATAGTCTACAAAAGCATAACGAGGCATAAAAGGCTGGACAACATGAAGACAGGAGGAGCAGTTCAGTGTGAGTGGACTAGCACATTCACTCAGAGGGAAAAGAGGCTGAAGAGACAGGCTGGGAACAGACACAAAGAACCTTCTAGGCCACTCTAGAGAGCCCAATGTTTACCCTGTAGACACTGGTTTCCCATAGATCATGACATGATCAAATTACCGTTGGGGAAAGATAATATTGATAGAGATAAAGAGGATAGATTGGAAAGGAAGAGCCCAGCAACACCACTGTTTTCTGCTTTGATGTTTACATATTTCAACAAAAGCAAATGGCAATATGTTTTATTCAAAAGGCACATGCTAAATTGCCAAGTAAAAACAACAAAAAGCTGACGACATACAAAGGATTTACAAGACTCTGTAAGGAAGAGAAGTATCACAAACAAGATTACTGGAAGGAATTTAAAGTCATTTCTTTCTTCCTCATAAAACATTCATATTCAATCCATCCTGCTGCTCACATAGTATTCTGCTGTCATAAGCAACCCACCCTCGGCTCACAGCAAACCATCCCAAATTCAAAATCGGAATGCTAAGTGGGAACTGCCTACGACAAGATGGAAAATTATAAATAGCCAAAGAACAGATACATGTTTGACAAGCAGCCCTTTCAGAAACCAAAATATGTGTAAGGTTAGCTAAGCAATACTTCCTTTCTTTATCCTGATTATATGGTCTGTGGCCATATACTTCTGAGGACTTCAGACTGCTACACAGGCCAGCTCAAGGAAGTAACTCAATTAGAACTTAGGATTGGAAGAGGCTTCTGCTTGAAACCCAATCCAAGGCTTTGAATCTGACTACAAAGTCAGGGCCTTACACTGACTGTGTCACCCTGCTTCCTGCTTGAACCCTCCTCCAATGGGAAGGGAACCACTGTCTCTTGAAACAGCGTATTTGATTTATGGCTAAATTAAGAGGTTATTTGTGTCACAAAAGTATGCTGCACTTAATAAAGTGACTTACTGCCAATGAATCTGAACAACCATTTGAATTTTGTAGAAGTACAGTGCTCTAAATACAGTTGACCCTTGAATTGCGTGGGTCCACTTACAAGCCAATGGCTTCTTTATAAATACAGCACAGTACTGTAAATATATTTTGTCTTCTATAGGATTTTAGTAACATTTTCCTTTCTCTAGCTTACTTTTTTCTAAAAATAATCAACTGTTTATGTTACTGGTAAGGTCGACAGCAGGCTACTGATTGTTAAGTTTGGGGGGAGTAAAAAATTATACATGGATTTTTGCCCGAATAGGGGGTGGAGGGCCAGCGCCCTTAAAGGCTGTGTTGAGAGTCAACTATATAGTACTCTTAAGCAAATACAAAAATTATTAAGAATAATTATAGATTTCCTTATGAAATCCTAAAGATTTTCATAAATATTTTGAAAGTCCTGAAGGGCAAGAATCTTTTCTTCTTCTATTGGTGTTAGGGTAAAGCTTAATGATGAAGAATGCAGCTGTGAAATTAGAAGACCTGTGTGTGAACCCACATCCCACTCCTTACTGTGTGACCCTGGGCAACTGCCTGACCACTCTATATCACAATTTTTCTTTCCCTCCAATAACTAATAAAAAGACCCACCTCATGGGTTGTTATAAGGATTAAATGAGTTAACACTTGTACAGTACCTGTCTATAGTAAGAATTCAGTTATCTATCAACTATTAGTATTTTTGGTCTTGGTATATATCAATACATATAATCAGTAGAAACAGAAAGTCAACAAACTTTGGAATAAATAAATCAAAATAAATATGAACTTCTAAAAAAACTGTTTGACCGAATTGAAACATGTTTAAAGAATAACATGACAACCTATGATTTCACTCATATGTGGAATTTAAGAAACAAAACAGATGAACCCAGGGGAAGGGAAGGAAAAAAAAAAAAGTAAGATCAAACTGAGAGGGAGGCAAACCATAAAAGACACTGAACTCTAGGAAACAAACTGAGGGTTGCTGGAGGTGACGTGGTAGGGGGGATGGGGTGACTGGTGATGGGCATTAAGGAAGGCCACGTGATGTAATGAGAACTGGGTGTATATGCAAATGATGAATCACTAAACTCTATCTCTAAAACTAATAATACACTATATGTTAATTGATGTTAAAATTTAAATAATAAAATAATAAAAGAAAAGAATAACATGACAACCTTTTCCTTTTCTGTTTAAAGGGAAATTACTTAGAAAGCCTATTATAATAAATTGACAAATCTATTGCAGAGGAAAAAGTGCAGAGGCTCTTAAGAAGTTAGAGTTTCTACTTACATCTGGTTTGGAATGCTGAAATATCTTCAGGGGAAATTTTAAGTCCCCTTTAGCTAACGTTACTAAATATTCCTTTAATAGCTCATTAGCCACACCAGGAGACTGTTTCTCACAACGATGAAGAAAGGGAACCATCCACTGGTAGGCACTTGTCACATATTTGTCCTCAGAACACTGAAAATACAATTAACCAAAACAAACATATTAAATACCTGATTATACCAGACAACAAGTTCTAAAACTCACATAAAATCAGACTAATGTTAAACAGTAGAAGCCCAACACTTTCTAAAACAGACACTCCAGTTCACCTCTCCTAGACAGGCTGAGAAGTGGCAGGAGAATCACCTTCTGCCTGGGGCTAGTACAGCTAACAGCAGTGTGGCCCATCTCTGCAGGACCACGGTCACTCTGGGTCCCTCACAGCGTGAGCCCCACTCTGGAAGACCAACACGCTGCTACTACGACTTCAACGTGAGATCTTCCAGAGCAAAGAGAGCTTCTACCCCAAAAATGTGTGTGTGTGTGTGTGTGTGTGTGTGTGTGTGGAGACCGACCATGGACGGAAGAGTGAAACAGAAAAAAAGCAGAGAGACAGAGACAGGAGCACTGAAAAGCTCTAGAAGGAAACCACCTGAGGACCATCTTCTGCATAAAATCCCAGAATCTCTCCCTTCCTTTTCCTTTTCTGTTTTGCCCCTTTACATCCACCTTCACAAAACTCCAAATGACACACATGATTTTACTCATTCTCCCTGACATTCCACAACACCTTCTTTTAATTATCCCAGAAGATAACCTAAATCCCATAAGAGGAGTCTTACCTATAATGCAAATCGATCTTCACTGGGTAGGTTATCAGGGGGTAAAAATTACTAAGCAAAAGGGAAGGGAGGGCCAGAGGGAGAAAGATGACAAGAAAGAAAAGGAGGGAAGATGAAAAAGCAAGTACAGGAAAAAGAGAGAAAGAGTCCGGGAGGAAAGAGAGCACATCAGGCAGCCATGACTCCTCCCCTCAGCCAGCCCACTGGAACCAGGCTGCCCAAGAGCAAAAGACTACCCGGGGCATCCTTGACAGCTGGGACCCTGCAGCCCCATCATTCCTGTCTCAGAGGTGTCTCTCTGTTCAGCGGGCTCAGTAGAAACCAGGTCCTAGCATGAGCGAGTGCACTTTCTCGCCAGGGTGACCCAGGGAGAATCTAAAAGTGCTGGGCAAATTCTCCTGAAGTCACGAACCCCTAAGCCAAGATGTTTTCTTCACACAAGCACCTAGCCCTCTGAACTCCAGTACTTCTGTATAAGTGAAATATATAAGTAATTGGGGATTTTCACATTAGTGAAGGACCAGAAACATGATTATTAGAATGGCCAGCTAGTTTAGAAATATGCCTAGCTAAAAGAAAAAAAAGTTATATACAGGGGAGTATGAATAAAGGGCAAGCAAGGTACAAAAACAGCCAAAATAATTTGGGGATGCTTTCAGTAATGTATTCAAAAATTGGATTTTTTAAGATTTTTTTATTTTATTTACTAAGTGCTCAGGTTTGGAGGATATTTTGTCTTTGGCTTTGAGACCCACATTAATCAAAGTACATAGGGAATGCTTAAGAAGAAAATTAAAATAAAACCTACACTATTCATCAGTAGTCTTAGTTTTTCAATGTCTTTCATCTGCTGGAGTTCTTTCAAGGTTAGGGTTAAATCACACCCGGCTTCATAAACCAAAGCTTCCAGAGTAACCAAATTATCACAAAGAGCCAGCAAACCGGGAATGTTCCGCTCCATTCCAAGTCGAATGAGTGACAACGCGCAGTCGACCTGAAATGGAAAAGCGACAGTATATCTGAATTTTCTATGTCTCCCACATCTTCTCAAATAAAAGCCTCCAGTACAGAATCTAATTCTGCTAATCACCTTATATAAAATCATATTATCAGCAACATGCATTTATTTAGTATAAAAACAGAGTTCTTCATCAAATATATCAGCAAACTGTTTCGAAAGAATCAGCAAGAAATACTGAAGATAATAAAAGAAAGACAACCATCTTAAATTCATACAGCATGACAGTTTAAGAGCAGTGTTACATATATCTGTCAACTTAATTCTCAAAACATTAACAAGCGGGGGGGTGAGGTGGGGGAAGAAAGCTAGTTAGTGATAATGCCAAATTAATCCTATTTTCACTATATCACTCTGCTCCAGAAACAAAAATTTTTGTGTTTATATCCCTGTTCAGTACCTATCCTTCCGCAGCGCCTCCCATATAAAAGGCATTCAGTAAATACTCGCTGCATGATGAACTCTGAGAGACACTTTCTCTGTCTCAATCCAAACATTTACACTTCACTTAGACCAAAATGAGGACTGATTTTCCTAGACATGCTCAGGACACAGCAATCTGACTCCCTATCCCTTGATCGGGTTTATGAAAGGACGTACCTCTGACGTGTCCTTCACTCACAGCACCTCGTACTCCTCACTTCCTCCCTTATTCCTAGACTACCAGACTACCAGTTATTTACTGAGGACCGCCTATGAACTAAGCATCATTCTAAGTGTTAGGAACATAAAATTGAATAAGAAGAGGTCTCTTCTTTCAATGATCTCTCCACCTCGTAGGGAAACTGACTTGGTACATCAGAGGCTGAAGTACAGTGAGGGGACCTCAAGGAAGGGCACGTGGCCTTGAAGACTTGAAATGCACTTTCAAGAATCCGTGGATAGGGGCGCCTGGGTGGCTCAGTCTGTTAAATGTCTGCCTTCAGCTCAGGTCATGATCTCGGGGTCCTGGGATCGAGCCCCGCATCGGGCTCCCTGCTCAGCAGAGAGTCAGCCTCTCCCTCTCCCTCTGCCCCTCACCCCCCTCATGCTCTGTCTCTCTCTCTCGTTCTACTCTAATAAATAAATAAAATCTAAAAAAAAAAAAAAGAATCCATGGATATTGGCAGGTCACAAAGGAAGGAGGGCAGGAGAACAGCATGGAAGGCAGAGATGCGTGACGTGTTGTGAGAGTACAGTTAGTCCCCTAAGACAGAGAAGATGGTCTGAAGCGAAGGGATGAGAAACACGGCTAGAGCAGCGGGGAGGGGCCGCAGAACGGAGAACACTGTTCGCTGAGCTAAGGAAGTTACAGTTTTTCCTGAAATGCAAATACTACCAAAGGACTTCCAACTGGGGCATGTCCTAAGTCGATTCACACACTTGAGAAAGAATACGTAGTCAGTATTCACTGAATGATGAACTGGAAAGGAACTGAAGAGAAAACAGGCCAGTAAAGAGAACTGCACTTTCTAGTATTAGAAGACTCTCGACTAATGACAAGAACAGCACCCGAGGGACAGCAAAATTTAAGGGACAAGCCAAAGGACGTGAGCCACCAGAGACGAAAACAAATGGCTGAGACAAAGACAAGGGGGAAAGCACGAAGACACCTCAGAAGCCACACAGAGGAGACTGAGGGAGAGAGGAAGCAGTGGTGTCCAAGAACGATGTATAAAATAACACAGGAAGGGTGTGATGTGAAGAAGCAGTTTCCCTAGAGTAGTAGGGGTGGCCAGACTCCAGACAAATGAGGAGGAAAGAATCATCGACAAAGTGACAACAAAGAGCACAGGGGACTATTTTGGAGCTGTGACAGAGGGAAGACAAATGCAACCAAAGCCAGGGAGATTAGGACCCTTAATCTTTGTTGTTGTTTTATTTATAAAACAGGAGTGGTTGGGACTTCAGGTCCAAAAAAAAAGGAACAAAGTAGAGAAGGAGGGATGGAAGACACTGGGGAGAGAGCCCAGAGCCACAGAACAGACCTGAACAGGCCGGGGTGTGGAATCCAGAGCACAGGGAAGGAAAGCAGTAGCCTGGATGCAAGAGAAGAGATCTCTTCCTCTGGGAAAAGCCGGAAAGAGTAAGGACTAATGGAACTGAGTTCTCAAGTTCCCCAGTGAAATACAAAGCAAAATCATCTTCCGGGAATGAGGAGGTGGTAGGCTGGGAGGAGCAGAGAAGGGGGAGGGGCAGTGCCTCAAGGCGAGGAAGGACACGGAGCAATATTAAAGGACCACTCTTAAAGCCCTTTAAAGCCCCAGGGACTGACCGGTACAGATGAAATGAAAAGAGAAGAAATGCATTTTCAGTTGGAAAGAACAGTGCCAGTAAATACAAGGCGGGGGGGGGGGGGGGGGGGCGCGGAATACAGCTATGCCATACCTTACACATAGGTAAGGCATGAGGCAAAACAGGAGTGATCTGGTAATACTTCAACAGAGAAGTGTTTTTTTACTTAATTTCTAGTAATAAAAATACAGTTCACATCTGAAAAGACAGACCTACCTGTATACCAATTCAGAAAAAAAAACCAAAACTATCACAGGTGAATTTTCAGAAAGCGTGAAGAAAACCTGCTGCATAAAACACAACTCTGGGCTGGTAATGGTTTGAACACAGACAGCACGTTTGCCATGTGTAACACACTCACCAATTTTGTGATCCAGATTGGCTTTCCTAGTACCAACTTGGAAGTTGTTGCTTTCCCAGACACTTACTGAGGTAAAAATGTTTTAGAACCAAATTACTGACACCTTAAATGAAAGCAGGCTCTAATGCAACTTGAATTATGCCACGTACCCCAAGCCCTCACTGGATAAATTGCCACTACTATACACATTTCCTAATCCAACAAACAAGTCTTGCTAAAAGGCATTTGTAGGCACTAAGGAAAAAGAAGTCCCACATCAATTAAGTCTCTAAAAATGAAAGAGATAAAAACCATGTTAGATACCACTTTGTAGCATAAGCCACATGAAGCATCAATAAATAAAATGAAGCTGAAGAATAATACTTCTATTAGAAGTGCTTTTATATAAAGGAAAGAGATGAAAGAATATAAAGGGCAGCCGAAGCACCCCCAAATCACTTCTCTTTATAGTTATTCCTAATTCCACAAAAATGAATTCAAGATGTCTAGCAATTATTACTGGACTGTTAAAAAATTTAAATTTCAGAAAGCTCTATGGTTTCCTTTCTGTTTATTTTTTATAGACTTTACATTTTAGAGCAGCGTTGACAGCACAAATCACGAAGAAAGTACGGCCACTTCCCACAGAGCCTCTACCCCCACCTACCGACAACCTCCCACGTTATCTACAGCCCCCACTGGAGTGGTTCACTTGTTACAGTAGATAAACCCATACCAACACACCATTATCACTCAAGGTGATAAAGCACAAAGAGCACGTTGGGAATTAGACTGGAGCACCTCCAGAGATTCTTCTCATCCCAGTATCAGGATTCTAAACATTTTCAAATGCACTATGGTCCTTAGCCATCTTCAAAGACCTGGAAAGTCAATCAAATATTCTTGGCCCACCCTTCCCAAAAGTTTGATCTATAATATTACCATCAGCTCCAACACATAGCTCCCCTTCAATTCTATGAATACTAAAAGTAGGAGTCCAAGTAGGCAGAAATTCAAGGAGACTATCAAATGGAGACACAGGGCCGCACCCATCACTGTGTAGAAATGTAAACACAGGGGTGCAAATTCCTTCCCACAGTACTGCTGCTCATCAGACCCTTTAGAATCACCCTTCCTGTCACATGAAAAACTGATGGTAGGACAGGTGGTCCAAAGCCAAGACCACAAGTAGAAAGAAAAAGGCATCCCGCGGCCAGATCCTGAATGAGATTTCAATGTGCATTCTGCCATTCTTCACTCTGAATTGCCAACTTCTGTTGTCTAAGATGAAGACAACTATTGCTTACATTTGCAGGGCACTCAATTAGCAGGATTTTTAATATTCTCTCCTGTGCATTTTCTTTGTTCTCACTGACCTTGGTATAGGAACCAAGCCCATGAAAAAAATCAACGTGCAGAAAAGGTAAGTGGCAGGTCCGGAGTCACGAGGCGTATTAGTGGAAGAGTTGACATTAGTGTTCAGACCTCCTAAGCTTCAGTACATCCTTATCCCTCTCTTCACTGTCTGATGTAGTTCGTTTGCAGCTCCATAAAGGCACAGGGAACTGAGGGGAATTAGGCTTAGACTTAAGGAAAACATTAGAGACAGAGCCTCAAACAAGGTTCCTAAAAAGCAAAATTAAAACCAACTGCATTACTGTGATATGACAGGGAGCTGATCAAGTATTTCTGGGTTGATACAGTCATTTCCACTAATATGGTATTAAGCCTATTAAAAAGATATGGAAAATCGTGGAGAGGATGTACCATATTTTGCGACTTATATTTTAGAGAAAGATTTTGAACGATTTTTCTTCTATGTATTTGATTTTTAAGAATCCAAAAAAGTCACAAAAGCTTTCTGAGACAAAGGATGAAAGAACAAACGTAGTAAGAAATATTCATTTCATCTCTGCAAACCAAACACACGCTCCCTGGCCCCACCGTCGGCTGCCATGACACACAGAGAATCCTGAGGCCCCAGCACGGCATGGCTGGCGTCCCTGAGGAGCAGCCATCATTCTCCCCTCACCTGTCGGGCATAATGCTCTATTTCCTGTGCTCTGGTCTGATACCAGTCCATAACCTTCTCTACTGTAAGCTCCGATGTCCTGTACCTCAGTAACACGGGCTGGGCGGCGTATAAGAACTCGCTTTCATCTTGGAGACTCGGCTCGACCACCGCTCTGCAAAGCACAAAAGGAACAATTGGTAACGGACTGGAATGCTGGGAAAAATGAGAATTTTGTGGAAGACAGAGAGAGAGGAACAGAGATGGGGAGCGAGTGGTGACAGAGACAGGGAGCATGCATGTATGTGTGGGGGGAGGGGGGTGGGCGTGTTTGTGTGTGTTTTCCCGTATCTGTGGGCACACTTACAAGATAAATGGGACATTTGGGAGATGCTTAATTTATTTTCCTATTAGGTTTCCCAATTTAAAAAATCAGGATGGACAATAAATCAAAACAGCCATGCCACAAATCAATCAAATAAGTATTAACGAAAATCAAAATCACCCTGGGAGGCTTTTACCAAATGCACATGGCTGGGAGCCTGCCATGGGCGTACTCAATCAAAATTACCTGTGAGGCCAGCCAGGCCTCATTTACGAAAAACACCTCCAGGTGATTCTACCTCAAATATATTTTCAGAAACCTTGTTTTCCATGTTCATAAAAATTAGAGGAAATACGCCTTATTTACATCGGTAATACACCCTTAGTAGATATAAGCAATGTGGTACTGCCCTGACATTTACAAAGTACGGAACTGCTCTGTGCCACTCGCCGAAGGTAAAGAAGGACCCCAAGAGGAAAGTACGCAAGGCTAACAGCCCAGGGATCACAAATCATGAGGAGTTTTTAAGAGGATGATCCTGGCCAATTGAGCTCCATAATCAAGGACTAAAAAAAAAGGACTTAAACCAAGAGAGTTCAGAGCGGCCTACGGAAAGCTGCTAGGCACCACTAGGGCTATCCATTCACCTGGGCCAGCCCACAGTAATGACAGGTGCTCTCACAGTTACCGTTACAAGGCAGTGGGCTCTGGAGTCAGAACTGAAGCACATTCCATCGCTGAAAGCTCTGAAACTCTGCATTAATTACTGAGCTAAAACTAATCTTAGATTCATTTTATTCATATAAAATGGGGAGAATGCAATGCCAGAGTATTCAAAATAATATAAATTAAGTACACAGAGAACATCGTCTGGCACGGAGCATGTGTTTAATTTTTTATTTACAGGTATTTTTTTATTAGAATTATTAGTAGCTGTAATATATGAGCAGACACAAAGCCCATTAAGATTTGGGCATTTTAGTCACATGCCTTAGACAACCTACTGTGCTTATAATTGGTAGCCCTTTACCCAGCTAGTCTCACAACTGCCATTAACATTCTGACTGGTGGTTTTTCCCCATCACTGTCACGAAAAAAGTCACATTTCCCCCTGAAATCTTTTTTTTTTTTTTAAAGATTTTATTTATTTATTTGAGAGAGAGAGAATGAGAGACAGAGAGCATGAGAGGGAGGAGGGTCAGAGGGAG